TATTAATATATTATTATTATTAATTTATTATATATTATAATTTATAAAATTTAATTTTTTAAAATAACATAAATTTTTTATATATAATTATTTTAAATTATTTTTTATTCAGAGGAATAAGTTCTGGGCCGAACGAAAATTTGAGCTTGTTTGATACGGACAACAGACGCGGTAAAATCATAACCGTCGATCATCCCAACTATACAAATGAAAGTCACGTGTGTTTCACGTGCTTGCTCGAACTATATAACACTTCTGCTGTGAAGCTTGTGGAAGGTAAAGAGGGTGCCGAAGAGGTCGCCGAGAAAGAAGAAGATAGCAGAGATGCCGTGCCTCAATCTCTCCACTAACGTCGACCTTAATGGCGTCGACACCTCCGCCATCCTTTCTGAGGCGTCCAAAACCGTCGCCAAGCTCATCAACAAGCCCGAAGCAGTGAGTTATTCCTTCTTCTCGCTCTCTGTCTATCTCTTTATCCCCTTCCTTGTTTCATTGAGTTTTTCTTATATCTGTCTGGTGATAGCTTTGCTAGGCTTACGATCATCTTGTGTACCGTTCAAATCATTTCGATGTGCTAAGTTACGGAGAGTATGATTGTAGGAATGAAGATAAGAGATGTTTAACGGCAGATTGTGTGCGTACAAGTGTTTGGAATTTGTTTCTATTTTTTCTTTTTGGAATTTGTGTTATAGCTGGTGTGTTCAATGTTTTATCAGTTTATCAGTTTTGTTGAAGTTGCGACAATTCTGCCGTCTAGGGTTTTGTGTAATGAGGCTATTTCGTTGCGGTATTTTTTGTGCTATTCATCTTGGTTTAGAAATTGGATTTTAATTTTGAAGCTTCTATTATTTTGTGTTCTTAGAATAAGTTGGTTACGATGGTTTTCGTTTACCAGAAGAAGAAGACTAGGCAGGTTGAGGTTGAGGATGCGTTGTTCGGACTAGTATATTGTCGAAGTTTTAATTAATTCACAGTTTCCGATGAGATCGTCGAATACGTTTTTCTAGATCTTTTCAGATATATTGTTTTTCTTCTGATGCGGTATTTCTCTAGCCAAACCCTAAGGGGCTGTCTCCCAAAAGATGGCATTTAAACTTGAAATATTGCCAGTCTAATCAACTTGATACTGCATCTTTATCTAGCTGTTGTTTGTTTTGATTGTCACTTTACCTAACAATTTCACATCCTTTTCCCGTTTTCCCATTATAATGCTCTTTGTCATTGTATTTGTTTTGATTTGATTTTCTAAATGTTGCTTCCACTCTTGTTTTATGAGACCTGATTGCATGATTTTAAGGTTTATATATTTCAGATGGTTTTTGAAATTCTATTGCGGTGCATTTATTGTTTATTATGGTGAATTCAGTGAAATTTGTATATGTGATGATAATATTATTGTTCTAGATTCGCTGATGTACATATTTATATTCAATTTGTTTTTTTGTTGTTGTTGTTGTTGTTTTGCGCTTAATGAGAACAATCTCTTATAGTCCTCTTAATTATGCATACATTGTTGGCTTTACACTATTTTGTGATTGTTCATTTGGCCGATCTAACAAATAATTTAGTTTTTAAGTTATATGATTTCTAACATTTTGATTCTTTTGACACACACACAGACATGTTTCATTTGCTTCTCACCTTCATCTGCATATCAGATTGGTACCAATGGCAGTTGAGTTGACATTTTTTAAATCAATATTTCAATATTCATTATATTTCATGCATTTTTTTTGTTTAGCGTTTGTAGAAATTATTTTTCTAAAATAGATATGAGATACTTCTCCTCTATTTTGTGTCTCACACGTACTGACAGAGAAGAGACATCAGCTAGATAAGGTGATTCACATGGAATTCAGACTCATGGGTAGCACTTTTTGCTCATGTGAAATAATTTTGCTGAATGAATTATCTTATCATACTTGTAAATAATGAATGGGGTTCACTAATGTGTGGGTGCGTCGTGCACTATTAACAACATAGCTCTTGCAATATTAGCAAGTGCCAGTTGTTTATTTGCCATGGACTAACTCACCTGGTTTCACCGTTAACCAATTATTGAGATGGCACCTATGGGATTGACTAGTTTATTCTAGGACTTTTTAAAATATCTCAAAATATAAATGCTTGAGTTCTACGCTATTATGTAAATAGCAGGGTTCATTTTGCAAACTCATGTTCTGCCATCCTACTACCAAATGATGTGCACCACACTTGCTGTGGCTTATGTTGCGGGCTATCTGGCAATATTGACAATTATGTACTATATCTGGGTGCTACACAGTGATTTTAAATTTGCTACATTTGAAGGGCCAAACATATGAGCTAGGGAGTTGGCATTATTGCACTATTTGGAAGGCTGTCACATTTGCTGCCACATAAACAATTAACAAAAAATGTGAATCTTTGGATTGCAATCTTACCAAGGGGCTTAACTGATTTATCACTTGCATTGCATTACTAGATGTTCTTACGTTCTACCTCTTCACATGAAGAAGTGGCAATTGGAATCATTTTTTTTCTGTTGGCAACTTTGCTAAAAAATGTTTTTTTTTGGCAATGATATACAAAACAAAGCATTATTATTTGTTGTTGTTATTATTACTTTATTTTTAGTTTATGATTTCCTTGTATGCGTTTCTAATTGATTCTTAGTATCTACTACTAAATGCTTCACCTATAATTCAAAAATTCCCACCTCTTTCTTGATTTGAAAAGATTGTTTATGCTGTCTAATTAATATGATTTTAGTTTTCCTTTACTTATGCTTGGTTAAACCTTAGCGTTTCTGAATTCAATATAAAATATAATTTAATTTGTTATCAAAATAATTGTGAATTATTCCTGGCTTTTAATTTATTTTTTCTGTTAAAAATTATAGTACTATATGCCATCGATCTTATTTATGATAAATTGGGCTTAATACTTTTATACTAGACACTTAAATACATGCAACTTAAAGGAGCCTAGCACCCGTGCAAGGGCTCAAAATGGTTATCCTCTTCCGCGGTATTAAATAGCACACCACCTTGCATATAATTCATTTTTTGGCCTGCAATTTCAATGCATTTGAAAGAATGGTTGAAGCTTAGGGGTATTTATTGTTGCTTCATTTATATTTAAGTATTTATTCATGATATTTTGATTTTTTTTCCTTTTCCTTTTTTAAAGATATAATAAATAGTGTCATTCATAGTTCTTATCCAGCGTGCTTGAAACTTGCTTATGTGATTTCTTCTTTTACAGTATGTGATGATAGTTTTGAAAGGATCAGTGCCTATATCATTCGGGGGAACTCAGGAGCCAGCTGCTTATGGTGAACTTGTTTCTATTGGTGGACTGAATCCTGATGTGAACAAAAAAATAAGTGGTGCTATCGCCACAATTCTTGAGACAAAGTTGTCCATCCCGAAGTCTCGTTACTTTTTGAAGTTTTATGATACAAAGGCAAGCATTTCGACCCCTAAGGACAACACAACAATATCTAGTATCTAGTTTTTAGTTTTCTCATTGCAATTCTGCTTATTGTTAGGCTCATCAAACTCAAGAATTTGCACAGTGTTTACATGCTACACATCAGCAATAAATCATGTAAATTGCTCTTAGTTTTGTGATCCATTCTCACTTTAATCATCCTTAAAAGTAGTTTGTTGGTGTTATGAGTCATCTGTAGAAACATTGTATAAATGTTTTTTTCTTTATAGTGAAGCTTACTAGATTTCATATATTTTTTTTTTGGGGCATTTACTTACATACCACCCAATTCCTATATATTTACGTATCTAACATCTAAAGTTTGTTTTAAACATTTATACCACCCAAATCTTTTATATCACAAAAAATACCACCATTTTAACTTTTAAAAAGTGAAACACACTTTTTCATGAATAGGTAAGGTGGTATGTTTGTAAAAACTGAAGTTGAGGTGTTAGATATGTAAATACATAAGAATTGAGTGGATATGTATGTAAATCTTCTTTTTCTTTTGGCAGGGTTCGGCATTTGGTTGGAATGGATCTACTTTCTAGGTTGTCAAGCTGAGTTTTTACTGGCGATTTGGTCCAAAATCCTAGAACGCTTCTGTGATATATAATTTGTTTGCTTGCTTCTTATTATGCTGTTTGCAAATATATCTCTATGTTATTGTTAACTTCATCTGCTACCCTTAAAATGGGCTGTGACTTATATTGCTACCTTTTTGAAGTCTTTTCTACTTTAGCATTGATTTTTACTTTTCCAATCTATTTATTACATTGAATCTAGGTTATAGTGTAATTCTTGAATGGTTTTTTGGATTGATATTTGAATTTGATGCAATGCTCAAAATCTGCCTCAGTTTTCCAAATTTTTAGTTGCACTTGAGTTACTTCACTTAATCATGAGGGATTTGGATTAGGGCTTTAGGGGTATGTACTCCCACTTGTTGGGTCCAGCCCAACTCTGTACTCTGTGGTTCAATTAGGTGTCCCAGTCTTTCCATCAACCCCACTTTGACTTTAGATCAACATACTTGCAAAAACATAGAATGTAGGGAGTGAAATTGCAATCATATATAGGTTTCAATGTCTTGGATAGGCCACTTGAGGCATTACTGTATTGTAGATGTTTCACCTATCTGAAATTAGTGCAATCTAGCATAGGTACAATTAGTGCAATTAGTGCAATCTAGAATAGGTCAACATTTGGTTGAGCTGTTTTCAAATGTATATTTATGTTATCATTAATTAAATCTTTTCGATTTCTTTTTGAAGTCTCTCTGCCACATTGGCTTTTTGATTTTTTTGGTTTTCCAATTTCCCACAAGGAATATGGATATGGTGGTATAGTTTTTGACATGCATGAGTTTTTTTTTTTGGTATTCAAATTTAATGCAGAGATTTGTACAGTCGGCAAAGTAGTTCCATTGTGTTGCTTTTTCTTTTTTTCGTTGTACTCAAGTTGGGGCTTGTGGGGTATTTACCACTGCTAGCTCAGGCCTTCTTCTGCTGTATAATTTGGTAATGCAATCTAAATATTAACTTTATGTTATTTTCTAACTTGGGATATAAATCATTTAGAGACAGAGAGAGAGAGAGAGATCTATAATATTGTCTGAGAAATTCCACACACAAATGTCAGTTTAGGAGACCACCAAAGGCATTGTTGACACACCATTGATGTTTCATTGAACTACAACTATTGAAATTTAGAATAAGCTTAGGATGATAAAGCTTGATTTTATAGGAGTGTTCCCCAGTCAAAGAAATTTCGAATTTCACTCTTGCACTCAGTTGGAGTTTATATCTGTAACTCCTATGGCCTTCTTTTCAATGTTTATTAGCCTCTGCAAAACATAGTTGCAGTTCACATAGATGCAAATTAAATGGGTATTCTTTGTGGGGATCGGTACTCACATTCGGCAACTTATAGATGAGTCCCTCTGTCTGAATAATAAGTATGGCTTCAGACAGTAAATTCAGTTTTATAAGTTATGGCTTTGAATTATGATCACAATCAAAGACGTTAGCTATGGCTGAAATGGTTTTGGATTGAAGAGTAATTGATAATTCCACATTATGCTGATTTTTCTGTTTGTCAGTTATGTTCTTATCTTTAAATAGAGGCCTTCTGAACTGAAGAAAGGGTATTTCCATTCTATCTTATATTTTCTACGTTGCATGCATACCAGTAAATTTTTATGTATTTACATATCTAATACCTAACTTCAATTTTTACTTACATGCCATTTTACATGTTTACCTGTGCATGAAAAGGTGTATTTCTTTTTCTAGAAGGTAAATTGGGGGTGTTTTTTATGCGATATGAAATATTTTGATGGTATAAATGTGAAAAATAAAATTTAGATGTAGATATGTAAATAAATAAGAATTAAGCGATATGTATGTAAATTACCTACGCTTTTTTTAGGTTGTGACCATATAGGCAAGCGGAGTCATGAACTGCTGATTGTTGAGAGAGAACTGCAAGCATTCTTCTGTGATATCAAATCTTGAATTTTTTTAATTTGATGACTCAGAGCTATACTATTTGATTACTTCATGCTAAGTTCGTTTATCTCATCCATTTCTCATCGAGATTAGACCAAGAGTCTGCATGACGAGCTTTGATGCCTCTCGCTCTTTCGGCGTCAATAATTAAAAGCCTCATAGCATCATGCACTTGCTCGGATGTCTTTATGAACTTTGTAGGTGCTAACTAAGAAGTCTAGTGCGAGGAGATGTTAAAATTTTCTCTGGGCTTACTAAATCTCGGTGAAGGCTTCTTGTATAGCCATATTTCAGGAAACTATTAATCAAATTGCGAAAGCGAGTGATGCCAATTTCTTCAAGGTTTTGTGAGTATTTGGATTTTTAAGGCGAAATAATTAGAAGAACCACAGAGAGATTGGGATCCAAAATTTCATGTTAATTGAGAAAATGACACTAAATGCCTTGATTTGGGGAGACTAGGAGATTTATATAGAGGCTTGTTTTATAAAGGAACAAGCGTATAGAGGCTTCATGTTTGTATTCCGTAGGGTAATTAGAAAAAGGGCATTAGTCTGGCCCTGTGTCGAAGAAATGAGAAGAGGCCATGAGATTGAGAGAGAACTAGTAGCAGATAACTTTCACTTTTAAGTACAGCAGTACAAAATTTTTTAGGGACATTTACATACATACCACACAATTCTTATGCATTTACATATTTAACAGCTAAAGCTTGATATTTATATTTATTAACACCTTGGTGTCAAAACCTATTCGTGAAAATGTGTATTTCAGGTTTTGAAAAGTAGTGATGGTGGTATTTTTTTTTGTGTGTTAAAGATTTGAGTGTTATGCGTGTAAATATGAATGTTTAGGTTTTAGGTATGTAAATAGATAAGAATGGTGTGGTATGTATGTAAATGCCTCAAAGTTTTGATTATTTATCGATTAAGCTACGATTCTTCCATAGAAGAGGTCAAAAGTGGCCAAATTTTGATTCCAAAATCAGTTCTACACTCACTCCCAAGCTATGGAATAAAGTAAGATTCTATTTTTTGTTTGAATTAGTTTAGGCATGTGACTAAATGAACGAGTGAGTGATAGGAAGGAGACGCTTGGTTCTTCTCCAAATTTTAATATTATAATTAGTCGGAAGCTAATAAATTTCATTTTGTAATGAGAGGTAAAAAAAAACGAAGGATTGCATGAACTCTTTTATACTTTTAAAGGAATCAGGTGACAAATAAAACTATAAAATTGTATTAAACATTAATATATAAAGAAATACTAAATGGAGAGCAGAAAATGTCAGATCCAGTCAAACCAATCTTTTCAAGACAATTTTGATTAAAGGTAAATGGCACTAATATAGGTGTGAAGTAGGTTAATTGTTAAAGATTTTGGCAGTTTTTGTTAAGGTCCTCAGGCTTCATCGTGCTACATGACATTTATGATTGAAATGATTCTGGATTGAGGATAATATCTAGGGGGATTTACATACATACGGCCTTATTCCTTTGTATTTACATATCTAACATCTAAATTTTGTTTTTTTACATTTTACCACCCATATCTTTCATATCACATAAAAAATACCACCATTTCAACTTTTAAAAAATGGAATACACCTTTATTGCATAGATGTGTGCAAAAATTCAAGTTGAAGTGTTAGATATGTAAATACATGGTTATTGAGTGGTCTATATGTAAATCTTTCCTAATTACAAACCCTGGGAAAATTTTTGCTCTTTGGTTAGGCATCTTTTAAAAATTGATGCTTTCTTAACAGAAGAAAGTGAATATTTGGCATGGCTTGGGTTAAAATTTTTGCCTGAATTCTAGAGACGTAGATTTCTCTCATTTAGCGGTTATCACCTCATTTGCAGATTCCATTTTCTTTTCTTGAATTATTTTCATCTACAACTCCACCATTTTCTCTTTTCTTGTTCTCGTGTTGAATCTTGATGTCGATTGATTTTATATTGATCCCATGATTCTTTAATTTTAATTCTTATATGATTTGAAGTAATCAGTGATTTTTTATGTCTAAATTTCTTCCCTGCTATCATTGTGTTTATATACAGATTTGGATTAATTTTAAAATTTATTTTCAATCTTCGTTACAAAATTCATTGTTTGAAATTTAGTGGAACAATCCGCCCGCTTAGCTCAGAGGTTAGAGCATCGCATTTGTAATGCGATGGTCATCGATTCATGCATGATTTCATAATGCTTTTTTTATCTAGTTTTTTTTTTCCCATATTGGACTCTAAAATAGCCGAAGGTGTATTGAAACAAAGAAATTCTTTTGATAAATTTCTACATTTAGTTTGTAATAATCATGAAATTATGTGTCTTGATTATTTGTACTATTTGGCATCAGGAATTTATGTGTTTCTTGCAATAATTATGATTTTCAGCATTTGATCCAACTATCATAAGCTAGGCAAGAGTTTTTATTTGTTCTTTTAACATTGGATTATTCTTATAGGTGTGATGCTCTACGAGGTGACAAGGGTTTAAAGTTTAGAAGATTTATAAGTTTCATTAAATTGGTTATGTTGAATATATTTTTTAAGTATTCAGAAGTGAAAAAAATGATGATAATTGAGTGAGATATAAAAATAAGAATTTTAGCAATGATTAAATTGAAAGGATACAAGAACAATAACAACAAATATTTAAGGATACAAGAATAACAACAACAAAACAAACATTTATCCCACTAAGTGGGGTCGGCTATGTGAATCCTTTTTTTCATTACGTCCTATTGGGTGTCATATTTTTATTTAATTCTAATAAATTAAAATTATTTTTTATGCAATATGCCCAAGTCTTTCTAGGTCTACCTCTGCGTTTCTTAACATAAGTTGAATCTAAAACATCTATTCTCTTGACAACTCTAATTTTATCCGTCACTAGAGCTACACCAACCCTATCACACATATATTCATTTTACATTTTCTCTCTAAGCTCATCCACCTAAGCATTCTCATCTCAACAACACGTAACTTAGTTTTATGCTTCTCTTTTAAAGGCCAACATTCTTCGTCATATAGCATTGTAGGTCTCACCACCATCTTATAAAATTTTCCATTCTGTCTGTGCGATACTTTTTTATCACACAATAGGCTCGAAGCATTCCTCTACTTTAACCGACCAACTTGAATTCTACTAATAACATCCCCATCTATGTCACCATCACTTTGAACAATAGACCCGAGATTTCTAAAGCATTCACACTTTTTAATAATTTGATCACCCATAGTTACAACTCCGTCACTAGAGCTATTGCTACTTAAATTACATTCCATGTATTCAATTTTAGTTCTACTCAAACGAAGACCTTTTGACTCCAATATAGACCTTCATAATTTAAGTTTTTTCACAAGAATGGTATCATTAGCGAAAAGCATACACCAAGGTACATCCTCCTGTAAATGATCGGTAAGAACATTCATAACTAAAGTAAGAAGATATGGGCTTAAAGCCAATCCCTGATGTAATCCAACTGAAATAGGAAAATATTTGGTCAATCCTCTTTCTGTTCGAACACAAGTAATAGCTCTAGTATACATATCTTTAATGACTTGAATACAAGTCATATCAACACATTTTTTATCTCTTAAACTCTCCAAAGGATATCTCTTAGAACCTTATCGTAAGTTTTATCAAATCAATAAAAATCATATGTAGATCCTTTTTATGCTCTCTGAACTTCTCCGTCAACCCTCTCAATAAATGTATATATTCCATAATAGACCTGCCTGACATAAATCCAATTTGATTATTAGAAAGCTTTATAATACGTCTTAACTTATGTCAATTTCCTTCTCCCATAATGAAACATCAACTTAATTCCTCTTTAATTTGCACACTCTTGTGCATCCCCTCCATTCTTAAAAATGGGTATCAAAATACTCTTCTCCATTCTTCAACTCCTCAGACATCCTTTTAGTTTTTAAAATAATATTGAAGAGTTTAGTAAGCCAAAAACTCCCAAATCTCCTATATATTTCCACACTTCAATTGGGATATCATCAGGTCCTACAAATTTTTCACCATTAGTTTTCTTTAAAGCCTTAATTTTTTTTTTACTAAAGCGATGGTAAAAATGAAACATTTTCTCATTATTAATAATATTAAGATTGCTAAGGTCAATCTTATTTTCTGAAACTTCATTAAAACGTTTATATTAAATATATTTTTTTAAGAAAAATACTTTTTGATTTTCATCTTTAATACACTTTAGTTGAGTTAAATCTTTACTTTTTTTTTCTTTGTTTGACTAGTTTATATATATATTTTTCACTCTCTTTTAGTATTTATTTTATTATAAAGATTACTAAAAGCAGAATTTTTATCGTCACAGATTGTTCTCTTAGACATCTTACGGGTCATTTTATATTTTTCTCAGTTTTCTAAGATTTTACATTTAAACCAATTTTTATAATATAACTTCTTATATTTTATTTTCTCTTGCACATTATTATTCCACCACCAATTATTTTTATTTATAGAAACTTTCTTTTGATTCTATAAGTGCATCTTTTATCACTTGTTTAATAGTATTTGTTACTTTATCCCACATAGAGTTTGCTTTTTCATGAACATTTCAAATCTTAAAATTTTGAAGTTTACTCATAAAAATAATTTTATTTGTAGTTTTTTATATACCCTCATCTAATTCTAAGATAATGATTCATAGTATTCTTTATTTTACAACTCTTTATCTTAAAATCTAGAACTAATAATCGAGGTTGAGTACTTAAATCTTGGATTGAAATGACCTTGCAATCTTTACATTCTTAGCAATCTCCTCTTCTCATAAGAAAATAATAAATATTTGTTTTATTAGATCCATTCTTATAAGGAATAATGTACTCATCTCTTTTGTTGAATAAATTATTAGTAATAACAAAAATATACGCTAAAGTAAAATCTAATTCGACTATACCTTATTCATTAATCACTCCAAAACTGCAGCCACCATGAATATTTCTCAAAATCTTATACCACTCTACCGACATGTTCATTTAATACTTCTCCAATAGAAATTCTTTCAAACGATATCATTTGTATTAAGTCTTCTAGGTCATTCCAATTTTTTTTTTAGAATTTATATCTAAACCTACTTGAGGATCATAAATATTCATAATATTAAAAATCTTAGTATCGACCATAATCTTAAGGTAATTCTTTCCTCAATTTTATTAATTTTTACAACATTATCTTTCAAATTCTTATATATAATTACACCTACACTATTTCTAGTGCGACTCTTATTTGAGTACCAAAGTTTAAAACCGAAGTTATGAATCTCCTTAGCCTTTTTTCTAACCCATTTTGTTTCTTGAATACATATCATATTTATTTTTCTATGAATCATAATATCAATTAATTCCATTAATTTACCCGTGAGAGTACCTATATTCCAAGATCCTATCCTAATATTAGTTTCATGGACTAATTTATTTACCCGCATTCGTCCGTAATGTGGAAACCCTTGCTTATTTGACACTACAACCAGACGCCGGTGCAGCGGCCCTTGCACACTTTTCATTATATTCAGGTCATACAATGCGTCACTTCTAGGGGACATCCTAATATTTACAAAATGATTGAAATGATTCATGTCATGACTTTTCGGCAAATTTTGCGTTGGCTGTCAGCGGTGCAGCGGCCCTTGCACACTTTTCATTATATTCAAGTCATACAATGCGTCGCTTCTAGGGGACATCCTAATATTTACACAATGATTGAAATGATTCATGTCATGATTTTTCGGCAAATTTTGCGCTGGCTGTCAGGTTGGGCCCCAACAATTGTAGTGTTAAAAATATACTTAAATGGCTTAAGAAGGTAAATTAAGAACTGAGGGACAATTTGAGTTTCTGGTCAGGCTGTGTTGGTGATAAGCTCAAGTCAAGATGCTTTATGGCTAGTGTGTTTTTTAAATAAAACAATGCAAAAGTAATGATCATACCCATGGGCATTTACATACATACCATTCAATTCCTATGAATTTACATATCTAACACATAAGTTTTGCTTTTTACATCTAAGCCGCTCAAATTTTCCATTTCACATAAAAAATACTACTATTTTAACTTTTAAAAAGTGAAACACATGTTTTCATTGATAGGTAAGGTTGTATGTATGCAAAAATTGAGCTTTCGCTGTTAGATATGTAAATACATCGGAATTTAGTGGAATTTTTGTAAATCTTCCCACATGTTTTATATCTGTTTGCAAGGATCAGCATTTTAGTTTAGAAAGGCTTTCATTTAACTTAAGAGATACATATGTGATCATATAATATACTGATTTCAATAAAACTACTTGATAATGCAAGCACAAAGCAGCTAAATTTATACATGATGCTAGTATACTATGCCTCAGCAAGTGAAAGATAAAGGAGCTCCTTGAACTCTAACTTCTTAGTCTCACTATGAAATGTTCTTTGCTTGTTAGGCCAATAGGTTAGCCAAATTTGGCCTATGATTTCGAACTCCATATTTTTCCCTATCTCACTTTGACAAATTCTCCATCTCAAACCTTCTCCATACTCGTCTCTAGCAAAAATTACGCCACCTTGTTTGGTGAAGGGCCTATAAGCGCTCGAGTAACGATCTCGAAACCATGCTTTCGGTTGGAGCAGTGCGAGCTTTGAAGGCTTGGAAGAAGAGACTTCCCTTCCATTAACCCCATCATGAAGAAACCAGTTAAAGTTAGCCGTGCTGCCGAACACAGATTGTTCGAACTTCCATGGCTTGATGCTGATAGTTACAGACTCGGATGCTGAAGCTGTGATGCTCATATATGAGTTGGGTGGGTCAAAACTGGCTTCGAGGGATTTCTCAATCTCCACTTCTCGTGTTTGATTTTCGGATGATTTTGTTACGGATACAGAGAGTATTTCGTTTTGTAATGTTGGAGTTAGTTGTAGAGATATTCTAGATGGGAAGTGTTTCTCTTCGCAGCCATAGCCTCTTTCGTTTAGTAGTGTTTGAGGAACCAGTGGATTCACATCACACCTGCGACGAAAAAATGCTAATTAGGCGCAATGTGCTTGCATATCTTTCTTGGAAGATTTACATGGTTACCACTCATTTCACTTTTTAAAAGTTAAAATGGTGGTATGTTTGACGTGATATGAAAATTTTGGATTGTATAAATATAATAAAGTAAAGTTTGGGTGTTAGATATTAAAAACTTGGGAATTGGGGTGGTGGTATGTTTTGGTCATTCTACCTTATATTGTCTATGGTGACAAGCACATCCATCCAATTTTTGCTGTAGTTGACCCTGTAGGCAAGCTGAATCACAGCCTCGAGCTGTTGGTTATTGAGAGAGAAGGACAAGCGTTCGTCTGCGACTCTCGAGCTTATATTTTCCATTTTCATTGCTATTACGGGACAATAACATTGCACCTTCCATAGCCCAATCGTCGACAAAGCATATGAAAACAACGGCGAAGGCGTTTTGAACGAGTGCTTCGAGTCTCTAAGCTCTACCATCTGATTAGTTATGGCCAGGTTCAATGTTCTCATCCATTTCTCCTCGAGATTGGACCCGAGAGCCTTCATGAGCAGTTTCGATGCCTCCCGTGCCCTCGGGGCCATTAATTGAAGCCTCAGAGCATCAAGGCACCCCCTGCGAATGTCCTGCGGAGCTTCGTAGATGCAAACTAAGAAGTTAAGTGTGAGAAAAGCTAAATTGAAGATGTTGGCAAACTCTTCTTCTTTGAGTTTTGAAAACCTCGGTGAAGACTCTTTCTTGCAAGCATCGTACTTGAGGACACCATTAACCAAATTGAGAAACAAATCAATGCCAATCTCGTCTAGGTTTTGTCGGGCGTCGGATTTGAAGTCGAATGAGTTGGACGACCAAAGGGAGATTGGGATTCGAAATTCGACATAAATTGAGAAAATTACACGAACGATTTGATTCCGGGGGATTTTGGTTATTAGGAGATTCATGGAGGGGCTTGTCGATCCCCCGGAGCAAATGCATAGAGACTCGGTGTTTGTTGTCCATAGGGTGATGGGAGGGAGGTTATTGATCCAGCTCCTGATATCTAGAAAATGTGAAGAGGCCATGAGGTTTTTGAGATATTATAATTTTTGTAGCAGCAAACCTTTATTTATAAGGATACAAAGTTTAATTATTTTTATATTGAGTCAAATGATTCCTCCATATAAGAAAGTCAAAAGTGGCCAAACTCTTATTCCAGTCTATAACATAAAGTAGATTCTTATTTTTCCTGGGAATTTACATATATACCATACCACACATTTCTTATATATTTACATATCTACCACACCTTTTGACACAGGATCATTACATCAATATGTTATAATGGTGTGGAAGGTTTGGTGTTTAGATATGTAAATATATAAGAACTGTGGCATATATGTAAATTTCCCCCCTTTTTTTGGGATGATTAGTGTAATTAGGCATGTGGCCAAATGAACTGCCTGTAAGTGATAGGAGGCGGGAGCCTATTAATTCATGTCGAAATTAACAAGAAAATAATTTGTTGGGAGGTTAATAAATGGGGGGATGCATTTATAAATATCACCGGAAAGTTTTATTAATCTGATTGAAATGATTTTGGATTTGAGTAATTGATATACTTCCAATTGCTGTGGGAATTTTTACTCCATGGATTTTTTTTATCTATAAATGATGTATTTGTGAAGGACCTGTTGGGTAATGTGGAGACCCGGTCCATCGAATTTAATTAGCTTCTTAATTAAATATTTCATATCCCACCTACCGCTCACTTGCCTCCCACCTACTTCCCACCTACTTCCCACCTACTTCCCACCTATCTCTCTCATGGTTTTTATAAATAATCCTTTTGGTTTAAAGAAAAAGCTAAGCCTCAAGTCAAGCGAAGCCAAACAAGATCAAATCAAGTTGAGAGCTAAGAGAAAAAGAGCTAAGAGAAAGAAAGGAAGAGAGAGAGGGGAAGTAAAAAAAGAAATTAGAGATTTTTCTTATAAACGTCAAGTGCTGCACTCAACGGTGTAAAGTGCTGCACTCGACGGTGTATTTTTTCGAAGAAATAAATCCTCTGTAGCTCCGTGGATGTAGGCAAATTTGTCGAACCACGTAAATCTGTGTCTCTCTGATGTTTTTTTTGTTCCAATTTTTCGTTTTATTGTCATCATTTTTCACAACAAGACCCTCCGTGAATGTAGGCAAATTTGTCGAACCACGTAAATCTGTGTCGCTCTGATGTTTTTTTTGGTGCAATTTTTCTCATTACCAATTTTTCGCTTTATTGTCATCATTTTTCACAACAAGACCTAAATGGAATTTTAGGATTTCTGCTTGGATTTTAGAAATTCAGAATTTTCTTTTGGAAGATTTACATGCATACCCACCCTTACCAATGGATGAAAATGTGTATTTCAATTTTTGGAAGGTAAAAATAATGACATTTTTCTAGGGTGGTATAAATGTAAAAAAAAAAAATTAAAGTTTCAGGCGTTTGATATGTAAATACATAGTAATTGGGTGTCATGTATGTGAATGCCTCTTCTGATTTCAACTGGTGGTATCACCTCATCTAGTGATTCAATTTTCTTCCCTTTTCTTTTTTACCATCTCCATCTGCACTAATTTCCACTGTCTTATTGTCTTGATTGATTGCTTTTATTTTGATTGTGTGATTCTCCAACTTTAAGTATTTTATGATTTTTCTTTTAATTTACATTTTGTGGTTAAATTTCTTTACTGTACTTGTTTTTATCAAATTTTCATGTCATATATACAAATATTATTTTTAAAATATGTGAAAATAATGTTTTAAAATTTATTAGCTCATCATGTTTAGTTCACAAAGTCATTTATCGAGTTGAGCTTGAGCAGGTCCACGAGTCGGCCTGACTCAACCACCCTATTGAACAATACTCGTCATGCATTCCGTAAATAAAGTTGCAATAAAAACTTGTTTAAATAACTAATTTATTTTTCAAGTAAACATCATTTAGGGACTTTAACAAATTCATTAGTTCGCCGCTTGGGCTCGACTCTAAATGATAAGTTAGGCTCGAGTTAGGTCCCGTTTGGGGCAGCTTAAAAGTGCGGGCAGACAATTTGAAAATGTATCTAATTTCACATGCCTAACATCAAGGCACTCATATTTACATGCCTACCTATTATCACATTAGAAATAACAAAATCACTAATTTTTTAAGAGTGAGATAGACCTTCACATACATACCAAGTTGTGAAAATTATAGATATCAAACTGGGGGTCAGATATGTAATTACATTAGAATTGCAGGTTATATATGTAAATTTTCCTAACATAAAACACATTGGTTGTTTATCTTAAAGCACATTGCACATCATATATATTTTAATTAATCAAAAAATAAATAGTTTAATATCATTGAAATCAATTATTTTTTCCTTTTATTTTCAGGTAGATCCAAATTAATTTTTTATGTAATTATGTAAAAAAATCCCCAACAAAAGCTTATATTATTCTGTCAAAAGTGTTGTGAATGCTAAAATGTACATGCACTATTTTACCTCTTAGCACTTATCTTCGGCATAATGCTTCGTTTCTCTCGCAACATTTCCCCACACATCCGCAATTTTCTCGAAATATCCCGCCTGTTAAAAATGAAAAATAAAATTATTATATATATATACATAAATTTCTATATTTATATGCGCGTGTGCGTGCCATTTTAAGATACAAAAATGTTATAAATATAAATATAAATGTAAAAGTTTTGGTGTCAGACATGTAATACATAAAAATTGTGAGATATATATGCAAATTTCCCTCAAACACGAAGGAGCTGAACATAAAAGTTTTAGTGTTTGGCTCGCTTACTTAACGAAGGAGCTAAAAACGAGCTGAACACGAGTTTTAGAAGTCAATAATTGCAATATTTTTTATTTTAATATCAAAGATCTGATTTAAGGGTTAGAAATGTAAACAATGTTATTTCACTTTTTTAAAAGTTAAAATGATTTGGGTGGATTAAATATAAACAACAAAATTTAAGGGTTAGAAATGTAAACAATGTTATTTCACTTTTTTAAAAGTTAAAATGATTTGGGTGGATTAAATATAAACAACAAAATTTAAGGGTTAGAAATGTAAACAATGTTATTTCACTTTTTTAAAAGTTAAAATGATTTGGGTGGATTAAATATAAACAACAAAATTTAAGGGTTAGAAATGTAAACAATGTTATTTCACTTTTTTAAAAGTTAAAATGATTTGGGTGGATTAAATATAAACAACAAAATTTAAGGGTTAGAAATGTAAACAATGTTATTTCACTTTTTTAAAAGTTAAAATGATTTGGGTGGATTAAATATAAACAACAAAATTTAAGGGTTAGAAATGTAAACAATGTTATTTCACTTTTTTAAAAGTTAAAATGATTTGGGTGGATTAAATATAAACAACAAAATTTAAGGGTTAGAAATGTAAACAATGTTATTTCACTTTTTTAAAAGTTAAAATGATTTGGGTGGATTAAATATAAACAACAAAATTTAAGGGTTAGAAATGTAAACAATGTTATTTCACTTTTTTAAAAGTTAAAATGATTTGGGTGGATTAAATATAAACAACAAAATTTAAGGGTTAGAAATGTAAACAATGTTATTTCACTTTTTTAAAAGTTAAAATGATTTGGGTGGATTAAATATAAACAACAAAATTTAAGGGTTAGAAATGTAAACAATGTTATTTCACTTTTTTAAAAGTTAAAATGATTTGGGTGGATTAAATATAAACAACAAAATTTAAGGGTTAGAAATGTAAACAATGTTATTTCACTTTTTTAAAAGTTAAAATGATTTGGGTGGATTAAATATAAACAACAAAATTTAAGGGTTAGAAATGTAAACAATGTTATTTCACTTTTTTAAAAGTTAAAATGATTTGGGTGGATTAAATATAAACAACAAAATTTAAGGGTTAGAAATGTAAACAATGTTATTTCACTTTTTTAAAAGTTAAAATGATTTGGGTGGATTAAATATAAACAACAAAATTTAAGGGTTAGAAATGTAAACAATGTTATTTCACTTTTTTAAAAGTTAAAATGATTTGGGTGTATTAAATATAAACAATAAAATTTAAGGGTTAGAAATGTAAACAATGGATTTGAAAAATTAACATATACATAATAAGAGTTGTTAATCTCCAACTAGCAACTGTGCAGCAATTGACAAAATAATAATAATAATCATGACGATGACGACGACGACGACGACGGCATACATTAAGGATTTAAGGGGAATATTTTGTGTAAATTTTGGTAAATAGCCGATAGAATTTTGCTTGAAGGGACCTTAAAGAAGCAAAAAATTACCACAAATATTGGGTTTGTCAGGTTTGTCTAGATTCAGCATGAAAAGTAGCTCTCATGATTTAATGACTGAATAAGAGCTGGATAAGCCAACGAGTTCAAGATAGCCAAATGGTAGATTTGTAAGGGCTAAAGATTAAAATGAGCTGTTGATGCTAACAGTTGAATTTGTATGGGGCCCCTATGATACAGTATAGTTTTGGCAGTACTTAAAATTATGTCATGATTTTGATTAGAAGTGTAACAGGATGGGTTAGATAGATTACAAAAGACAACAATGAAATTAGGAGTATATCTGCAGCTTATTGAATAATCTGTTGATAAGCTGATTAAAAATAATCTACTGATAAGCTAGGTGTGGTGGCTATTTGGTGTCTATCAGAGATTTTTATTTTTTTGGAAAAGCCAGACCGCTGCCAGGAATCAACCACTGCAACTAAATAGGAGCGGTGTGAAAACACCACTTAGCGGTGTGAAAACACCACTTTTATCGTTTTCAAAACGCATAAGCTGCCAAAACACAATTTAACCAAGCCGTCCAGGTGCGTTTTTAAAACTCCACCGCACCAAATAAGCTGCCCCAAACGGATCTTTAGTTAGGAAGATTTACATCCATGCCACTCAATTCCTATGTATTTACATAACTTCAATTTTTACCTTTGCATGAACATGAGTATTTCACTT